CTAACGGTTGAGCCCGTGATCTTTTTGTACGCCTATGGCTTATTCATGGCAATGCCAACATTCCAGCAGTTTGTCTATTATAAAATCAGYGAATACAATGGTTTTCCATATAAACCTGAACAAAGAGATAATAACGTTGGATGTCCTTCAGGAAACTCCACCAACATGACTCTCAAGGACCTGGAAGATAAGGTACTGAAACTTTCATAGTTTTACCATAATTGCTGAGTAAAAACTACGTCAAGTAGCTACCTCTTTGCCCTCTCTCTTCATTTGACTCAGCTTCTAAGCTCTTTTGATGCTTTTATTCATATATACAAAGTTACATATTTTTCATTTACTGAATTTGCTGTTAGTTGGCATCGCCTTTGTCATAATCGGTGCTATACACTGCCAATGTGTACRAAAAGTGCATGCCCAGTTAATGGCATTGCTATCGCTCCCTCTAGTTATAGTTGCTCATGGTAAAGCTTCGTGTTGTTAGGGTGTGTGTATACCATTTGAGTTAGTATCTTCCTTTTAAAGGTCCAGTTACAGGCTTCTCGTTTTGACATTGGAAGCGTCATGTGTCTGTCAATTCCTTCCATTATAACCTCTCTACTTATTGGTCCATGGTCAGATACAGGGGGACGCAAGATCCCCCTTGCCTCGCCTGTAATTGGGGCGTCTCTGGAAGCTTTAAACACTATCATTGTGATGTATACGGAGTGGCCTTTGTACGTCTTGCTTGTTGGCTCTGCTATGAATGGATTCTGTGGATTCTTCACCGTCATGACACAGACATCAATGGCGTATATTGCAGATACAACACCTCATGGCAAAGTAGCTATACGAATGGGTATGGTGACCATTATTACTGGAATCTTGTTGGTTATGATGGTAGAATCAGTAATTTTAGTATTAGGTTTGAGAACTACATTTTTTATCTTTCCAGCTATCATGCAACTGATGATTCTTGTTGGTGGGCTTGTCAGTCAATTAACCAGCGGTCTTTGGATCAAAAAGTTTGGTTTCATCCCTCCTTATTGGTTCATTTTGGCGTGTGAAGTCGCGTCAGCTCTCTACGTCATTTTCGTTGTTCCCGAGTCAATCACCAAGCCAACSGAAAAAAAACACAGAGCTCGATTTTTCAGTCTGACAAGCTTCAAGACAATCTGGAAAGTGTACCGAGATCCAAGAGATGGTTATCGAAGAAGCTTGTTTTTGTTGTTGATTGGAGATGGCATTGTCAGCCTGGCGACGATGGGATTAAGYGGCGTGATTTTATTGTTTGTCTTGAGGTCACCTCTTTGTTGGTCTCCTACAGTACTGGGTGTTTTCATGGCTTTTCGATTTCTCACGCAGGGAATTGGTGGAATTGTTGGTATTGGTGTGCTCAAGCGTTGCYTCAGTGATATTAACATTACAAGAATAGGACTGACATCTTTAATCGTCTCACTGGTCTTGTTTGCCTTTGCCAACAAAACGTGGATGGTGTTTCTTGGTGAGATATCATTGCTGAATGACTCTATCATTATGTATACATTACTTAATGATTAATGTAAGGTTATAACGTATGTATGATGAACATGCCTTTTTAGTTATTTAAAAGTTTTCTTATACTAGTTCCGTTGGTGGGATGTCTCAATGGTATGGTCTCACCAATAATGAAAGGAATGATGTCTAGAATAACAAAACCTGACGAAAGAGGTAAACGTTTTATACTGCTTTCAAAAGTGTTTATTTAGATTTGTAAATCTGTTATTTACTATCTGGCAATTTTTTACAGGTACCACTTTTTCAGCGGTAGCTGCCATTAGCACATTGTGCAATTTCTTAGGAGCGTTTATCTTCAATCCAATTTACATACGATCTTTAACTTTTGGCTTCCCTGGTCTTGTCTTTTTGATCAGCGCCGTCTTGGCTCTCTGTCCTTTGATAATGATGAGGTATTTACTTCTYCCCAACCTGGGGCTTAAGGATTTATCACCGTTTTTCTCCACCMYAAACTTGGCTTTAGGATTTATCACCGTTTTTCTCCACCCCCCACCTTGGCTTTAGGATTTATCAACGTTTTTGTCCACCCCWACCTTGGCCTTAGGATTTATCAACGTTTTTTTCCACCCCAACCTTAGCCATTGGATTTATCACCGTTTTTCTCTACCCCAACCTTGGCTTTAGGATTTATCACCGTTTTTCTCTACCCCAACCTTGGCTTTAGGATTTATCACCGTTTTTCCCCACCCCAAGCTTGGCCTTATGATTTATCACCGTTTTTACCCACCCCAAGCTTGGCCTAAGGATTTATCACCGTTTTTACCCACCCCAAGCTTGGCCTAAGGATTTATCACCGTTTTTCCCCACCCCAACCTTGGCCTTAGGATATATCACCGTTTTTCCCCACCACAAGCTTGGCCTAAGGATTTATCGCTGGTTTTCTTGAGGCCAACCTGGGATTTTACGTCCAAAACAAAATGAAAAAGAAAAAATATTTTTCTGACGTGACGCTTTTCGATTGTATCCTTGCAGTTTCATAAAAAATACTCAGTATTTTGAAGCGCCAACAAGCGATGCAGACACGGCATTCTCAGAAGAGGCCAATGAAAAATRCAACCAGAATGAAGAAATGGCATTGGAAGACATAAAYATCAAGGACTCCATCCCTGAAGAGACTGRTGGAAATGACAAGAAGAAAAATGAAGTTAWTCATGAAGGTGACACGGAAAATATTATTGAAAATAGCGAACCCAACGTTGCTTGCTGAAATCAGCGAGTCCTGAACATTARATATTACTTTTTYCGATTGTTYATCAAACAGAAGACTTCCTATTGGTAATAATGAGATTCGTGGTTTTACTTTTGTTAGCTGTCTTGCAAATATATACGCAGACGGCATTCGCKAAATATRGAGGGCCTGTAAGTACCAAGAAAAYTRMATAGATATATAAAKGGCGTAAAGGGATATATAAGCACAGAATTATCCGTTAATCTCAGTTGTTCCTATAGTCATTYCCATAATACTATAGCAAGCAGTGGGTTTCGTAATGTTTTAAAGGATGATGACGACATTATAACACTGTAAAAAAGTGAGCGTTAGTGAAACTTCATGGTACAAACATCCGTATTTTGATGAACTGTGTTTTTTTTAAATGCGCAGGTGTGAATAACAATGTAGAATATGGATATACATAAAGACGTGATAAGAGGTGATCTTTGTTTGAATTCTATCATTTATCTACACCACACTTTTTTTTCAATGGTTTCAAGAGAACGACAAGATACACCTCCAACTGATAATGCTGTAACTATTTCCTCAAGTATAACCAATCTTCACTAACATATTTCAATTTCCCTTTTTYCCCGGATCTGTATCTACACGATGTCCTTTGTAAATCATAATATTGTTATTTTTAATGATGAATGTTTTGAAAACATTCCAATGTTTGTTTTTATTTCAATGCAATACCAACGTCAATGATAAGGTTTTTTTCTTCAACACTGATGGATTCTTTGCGTTAAACCCTCAGGACAGCACTTATATAACTCGGCGGCAGGTCGAAATACATTCTCTTGTTATTTTACGCTTTAATTCCTTGGGCTATCCTCTCAATACAGTTCTTATGTAACCATGAAAACGCACTCCTTTAGCCTTACAGTATACATGTACTTTTCTTGCTTTTTGACGTTGAATTTCTGATGTTAATTGTTCATAGGAAACTGTTAAATTACACGCCTATAGCAAAATACATACATTTCTTGACTTTTTTGCAGTGAAGTAAATTCCGTTATTGCTCTGAAAAATACGCGTCTAGATAACATATAACGGCCTTTGTCTCTTTTCCTAGTACGCTGCGCGGGAAGAAACAGTGCTGAATCGGGAGACAAGCATGTCTTGTCTCAGCTGACCTTTAGTCAAGTTCTACGTTGAGGCCTAATACTTTATATTTCCTATTAACTATATATTTCTTTTTTTTTTCTCGTTACAATTCTCCAGAACGGTTTACTCAATTGTTTCCCATAAATTTCTATGCAGTGATTGGCTATTTGTGTCTTTAGYGTSTACAATCGTGGGACCAGTGTTGACTTGCTTTCTTGTTATAGTAACTAAAAACCCAGAAAGAAGTGTTTCCCTAAAGCTGCATCTCATCAGTTATATGGTCTCCTTGCCTGTCATATTATAATCAATAGGAATTTAACCAATCCAGCTTCTTCTCTCTTGTTGCTATTATCTTCTTCTTAAAAGAATAACACATCGTGTTCTACTGTAATTCCTTCTTGTTCTTGTGCACATGGCTGATGGTTTGKTCTTCCATATCATTAAATACAAATCATACATCAAAAACAGGTAGAGTATCAACACTAGAATCTCGTGTCGGATAAAGTCTTCAATTCTCTTACAATGTTCAGTATATAATGTGAAATCGTTTGGGCTCTCCATCGACAAACTTTCGATTTTATATAGTTGTCTCCACTTTCCTTACAAGTCTTAACATTATGTCGTTGTGTTTTGTAGAATATGTGTTTTGTAGAAGAGAGTGGAACCAATTAAATAACAGTAAGAACTAAAAACAAAGAGACACACTTCAAATCGTTCATCATTAATTCCAATAGTGGGTACCTATTTTGATATCCGTACTGATATTGAGGTAGTCTCATCTTCTATTGAATTTATTCATATTTTAGGAAAGAGTCTAAACATTTGACTGTGATTCATAATACGGTTAAGGTGTTCGTGATGAGCAGATAATTAGACTTGTGCTTAAGGCGAGAACGTGCTCATCCTTCCGTTAATACTCTAAGAAGTGCACTTAGGATGGGAAAAAACACCGAGTCGACATATGCTGGAAATAGCGTAAGGACAGTAAACGTTTTGAAAAGGTAATGAAACGATGGTATAGCCCAAACCAACAGCATATACATTAGTAGCTGTGTTTGATGGATAGTAGGGGGTTTGGAAGTACTTCATTTACATGTATTTTTATCCTTTTATTTTTGGTTTCTCTCTTCCTCTTCTCCAGTGTTTTGTTTTGTTTTCTTTTWACTTAAATGAAAATAACTTCATGCATCAAGTCGTGCATAATGTTTCGAAAAAGAAGAATTCCTTGGATTACAGAAATCATCTCAAAGCTCTGTCTATGATGCTGTTGCATTAAACAGYGGATTTGTGTGTTCAATGATACTCTGGGATTGTGTTGACTGTTCTATCACAATCATGTTTAAATGCTTCCCAAATCCAGTCCGGTATAGGATTGTGTTACTATTCAATCCGTATGTTGCACTGGGTACTACACAGGGTTGTGAATGTGTATGACCTAATTCCATGCAGTATTGTTAATCGCACTATTTCATCCTACATGTGATTTTAATAATAAGATTTAATTGAACAATTCAAGTACATAAGCAATCCTATGTAGGTTGTATACGTCAATACACCAATAACAATGCAATACCATAATGGAATGTGTAGACACCCATGCGCGCTCTCTAATAGTGAGCCAATAGAGAACCCTTAGCCAATCATGGTTAATTTCTTGCGTCGACTGGAAAACTATCGCAATTATAATGCCTTAGCTGTGTAGTCTATTAGGCGTCAATGATCTTCCTGTGGAACACGCTGCTAACGCGGGAGATTGGAGACCTATAGCTTATATCATCGTACTTTCCAAAGTAAGCGACGACACGATCTTTGTACTTTTTTCATTTTTCTCTCTTTKGAGTTTGTTTATTTTCTATACATTTCTAATGTAATTATTCATAACTTGTATCATTGTTCATTAATTGTGTGATGTCAGATTTTGTTTATAAGCTATTTCGATGTGAATGTTTTTTGTAACTGCAAAATATTATTAAATTAGGTGATTCAGGTTCATGTTTTCTTGTTTTGTGATAAATGTTTCTTGTGATGTGTCTTGAACTCTTTATTTGGTCGTGTAATGTTGTTCTTCAGTGTGGCATAGACGTCTGGACCTCCGCCTGGTTTAAGGATGTTGGTTTCTAATTCTTTAGGATGAAAGTCATTGCCGATTGGCCAGTATAAAGCCACCACTATTTTGTACTTTCCTGCTGGATTTGTTGCAACACCTAAAAACAAAACATGAAAAATTGTGGGTTTCCAAGGATCTTTGCAATGGATTCAGCAAACAATGTAAAATACAATCACTGAAAAACTATCTAAAATGATGCATTATCTTTTTTTATCACTTACCGAGTCCAACTTGACTTGTACCTTTCCAAACCATTTGAGAAAAGTGACGAATCTTATCATTAAATTTTGGATATGAGAAGCTGTAGTCTTTTCTCTCACTGTACCAAATATTCGAGGCTTTGAGAGGGGCATGGGGAAAGTCATGCCATATTTGGGCAATGTTTTCCCCAGGGGATTCTCCCTGTAAGAATTGTAACAAATTGTCACGTGTATAATAGATATATTAAAGACCAGATTTAATTCGCTTACTTGAAAAGAGCTTGGATCGTTAGCAATAGTTTTGGCTATGCGTTGAGCTTGTTCTGCTAACGATTCGTTCCATTGGAGTGGCTGTACATGGTGAAGAAGACGAAAGCTATTGTGTGCAAGCATTCCTTCCTTAATGGCAATGTCTGTGGGTTAAGTTTGACAATGGTGAGAATAACTCTCCTCGTAATCGCCGGCGCCTTTTTGAAAGGTATTTTTGTCTTTTACATTGAATATAAACGAACAGTGAGTATGCAATGAATGATGGAAACCTTTGCAAACCTGTAGCAATTTTCACATGCATCTATYTATCATTACAAGCTCACGGTTGATCTTTAGCCAGAGGKGAATATATAACAATGTATCTGACAATAACGATAATGATGATGATGGAAAGAGATTCTATTAACTGCATCATYTGATGATCAGTTATGATTGACATTGATGATGACACTGGTGATGATGGTGGTGGTGAAGGCTTGTTACAATATTCAGTAGACTGGTTGGTTGTGTTCCGTACCTTCCTCACTCCTGTCTTCCAAGTTTTCGGACGCTTGTTGTACGGCTTCGTCTGAGAAAGCTGCGTCCGGCAATTCGTCGTTAAGCTGGTCGCCATGATCTGACGCAGAAACAAACAATGTAAACATCAGCAATGTGTGCAGGYAATAACTCGATAATAGCTTGAGAACTTGTTAGCAAATCCAAAACCTGTGGAGCCTTAGTCATCTTTGCAGGCAAGTTCTTGTCTCAATCTCAATGTGTCCTCMAGTGCTCTTCTGTAGAGGACACAAAAACCCCGAAACAAGAACTGGGTGCGAGTGGAGTCAATGTTTCAACAAATGAATTAAAAGAGGAATTATGTGTTTTCTGTCAACTTCAAGCGTGCACTCGGTCAAGTCAAGATATTTTCTGCTAACTTTTAATCAAAACATACATAAATCATTGCACATCGTTTATGATTCGCTGTCAGGTGATATCGCAGACTCAAGATTGAAAGTCAGTTTGTTACCTTTAGTGTGCCATCTTTTCTCGCCAGCYGACATTTTGTCCAGATACTGAGCCACGGCTTTTTTAGTGTCATCTTGAGGTACTGCATCAAGGTATTCTGATATGRTTTTKGGATCTGGCTGGACATCTCTTGCTGTTCCTTCTTTTTTCAAATAAACGTTAAGTTAKATCAACACTGATATCAAAAATTTTAAAATAGTTTTTGCCTTGTATACTTCGTACTTGTCCGTGACATTATATTTGGATATAATGCTGCAATACAATACCATGCATAAATATGTCAGAGTATTAGACAACCCTCTTTCCGATATCCTATGCCATTAGATTTRAAAACGTCTAAAATGCATGAAGTTGTAGTCCTTGCTTTTCCTTTTTTCCTACTTTGTACATTTTTTTAATGAAAGAGAAAGGTCTTTSTTCAGTTTTAAAATTTTCCTATGTATCTAGTTCATACTCCTTTTGTCTTTATCGTGCTAAATTGAATGAGGTACGTATAGAGTGGAAACGACTGAATTTACACAAACCTGTGTCTACCGAAGCTCGTATTTTTGAGGTTTCCATTCCTTTTCCAGTGTATTGACTTACAGTCAGCGGACTTGTATCAACAAAGTCTTCACGGCGTGATTTGGATTTAGTGGAGTSATATGCACGCTTAGAGGTATAGCGGCTCGTGCTTACTGTAGAAAAGAAATCACAAAAGTTAGAATTGCTTCACTTACTGGAACAATAACTAAGTGGAAGAAACTCAACCAGATGATTTTAATGCACTCACATCTAATGCAGAGAAGGACAAGAAGGAGTATATAAGTTGTAGTATTCATGATCTTGTATTCTTCACGACTTCGTCTTCATGCTTTGCAGGTATGAGAAAGAATAAGAGATGTTAGTTATCCAATAATGAGTAATGATGATGATGACCATCGCAACAATTACAATTGCTTGATGTTGTTAATGTTTTCAAATCCTAGCTCAGCGGTATTATCATGAAGATTGATAATATATGATATATTTCTAGTTTTTATGTTTTTATTTATGCCGTTGCCTCCTAGCGAAATCGCTCAAGAAAGCGTCCTGCGTCTCTCATCCCATCCTGAGGTTAGATTTGCCAATGTATTTTACTCCAAAAATGAGACGATCATTCTTATAAATTACCAGAGTGCAAGCTTCATCTATTACCTGCTTTAATCATATACATTACAAGCGTTTTCATGAAAGTTGACATTAAAGACTGCTTTTCTGGTTTATATGTACATCAATAATTCTCCATTACAAACGATAATTGTCAATATTATCCTAATTTAATCGTAAGTGGCATTCATCACTTACCTTTTATTGTTATAATCCTTCTCAAAGTCTCAAAGATAACCAAGTAATGACATCACGTTATATGGTGTTGTTCATGTTAGAATTCTATTGGTTGGTTCGCTACAGAGGGTTAGTTTTTCAAGTATATTAACAGGTGATGGTCTAAACCACTTCAAATATGCACTCTGTCTTATTCGACTATAACTAGCTTTACTCGAAGGTTTGTTTTCCTCTTTATGTTGTCTTTAATCGATAATATTACGGCATTTCATCAATATGTGTATCGTTTTCAGCGATTTTACTCTGGAACTGGGTATCGTTTTTAGCGATTTTACTCTGGGACAGGGTATCGATTTCAACGAATTTTCTCTGGAAGAGGGCCAGGGTTTAATTCCGGAATTATTGATGCTGGATAAAAATTCACGGGGTAAAAATTCGGCCTACACGCAGGCTAGTGCTGGATTTTAATCTAGAACAGGGTATCGTTTTCAGCGATTTTACTCTGAAACAGGGTATAGTTTTCAGTTTTCACTCTGGAACAGGGTCAGGGTTTTGAGGTCCCAGCGGCACACCCCCACCCAAGTTGAGGGGGACCCCCCACCCGGGACAACGACTAGAAATGAGTAAGATATTGCTGCAGTTACAAGCGATTCAGTGTGTGCTCTGCATAGCTCAATTTTGGCTCAATCACTGACATATTCCATCTTGAGCAGTTTGAGTTCTTCAGAAATTTACTAGCTTATATTGTGATCACGACGTCACTGGTCGGTTTTTGGAGTATGGATATGTAATTATCGATGATGTAGTCTAGAAAGATCATAAAGGACTGACACTCCATCTTTATCCTGCTGAACATTGAGACCCCTGTAGAGACCGAGTACGGCCACATGGACCATCAACTCCACTCCGAACTAGATAAGCTCGTTAATGTTTCACAATGCAGTTCAATAAATATCTGAAGTATCAGTGAGGCCCACACTGCCAAATACGACAAAAACGATTAAACATGATTTGTTTTGATTACTGGAATCGCAATTTTGACATATTATACTGTCGGCGTATTGACATAAATGATTTAGTCTAAAAATGTCACAGGCTTAATGCTAAACTATTTTGGGTGAGCCTATGGAAAGACTAGACGCTCTGGGAGCGTGAAGTCGGACTAGCTGCTTGTGAAAATTGAGAAAGACAGGATATTACATGGATAAAAATATTTCTTAACTTTTTTTTCCAAAACAGTCGAACTCACGGTCTAATAAGAGCGTCTAGTTCAAAATATGCAAAATTTATTGAGACTTTAAATAAACTTGACCTAAAAGGTCATGTAATTAATGCGATAAGAACGTGGCTTGCTTTGACTGATAAAGTCAACTACGCTCAGACAAATGTCTCGCTAAGTGATATATGATATCTAAAACGTTGACCTCTCAGGCAAAGAAAAATAAAAACTTTACAAGGAAAAAGATGCCTATAAAATCATTAAATTCGCCTTTCTGTTATTGATAAACAAAGTTTCTTCTTGTTCTAATATGAAATCTTTGCCCCCACAAGACTGTCTAACACTAGAAAGGATATTGATTCAGTTTTGTAAGCATACAACTCGAAACTCTATGCGATCTGCACATGCGCGTACTTCTAATGCCTAGACAGACGCATTCCGATGAGATCACAGATACCACATTTGTAAACGAATAGTGTTTTTGTCATATAAAAGCCAAGTAGCATATAACATTTACTAACGATATTCGTACCAATACACTTGCGCTTCCGGTCATGTAATAACACAGCCAACCCAATAGTTAATTATTAAATTCTTAACTTCCGGTGGTCCAAACGCGACATAATACATAGATAGATAGATTGATTGATTGATAGGCTAAAAGGTAAATTTAAATTCGGACCGCCTTCGGCTAGTCCGACTAATAATAAACCTAGCCGAGGCAGTTCACAGGTCAATT